TACCTGAGAAATCAAAGTTCATGTTCATTTGTAGTGGTGAACATATTAGTCGTATTTATAATGGTTTGAACTATAATCTAAAATTTTATACTTTATGTAGACGTTGTACATATATTTTTTCCTTTATTGATTGAGTTATATATATGCGTCCGTTTTCTAAAATTTAAATTGCAAAATGTGTGGAAAAAAATTTGTATTTTTATTATAAATTTCTTTTATGTAATAATATAAATTAAAAACAAATAAGATTATATAAATATATTGGAGAGATATTCGATTTATTAAAGAGAGAGTTTAGGAAACAGTTTTGATGTAATAAATATTTGTTTCCATTTTTGCGATTTGCTTGTGAGTTAATTACAAAATTTACTTTTAAGTTTTGTTATTTATTCAAATAGTAAGGATTTGATTATGTAAATAATACAAAATAAAAGGTTATAATCCAAATTAGATTTTAGTACAAAATGTACTTCAAAAATGTTAAGATAGATAATTAATCCACTAATCTAATTGATACATATAATAAACAAATAATTAGCCCTCTTGATAACATAAATTACAAGGTATATTCCATAATATATAAAATACTATTAGTAGACCAAATAAATGAAATAATCCTTTCTTCTTCCCGACTCTACACAGAGCTGTTCTGTAGTAATTTAAGGTAAATCACATAAACCTTAATCATTGCAGAAGCTATAATAACTCTTACCAATGTATGTTAACGTCTCACTGATATGAACCCTTAATCATTTGACAGGGAAACAGATGAATGAAAGCGTTGTTAGCCTCTCTACTAGAGAGCTCTTTGAACTCCTTCCAAAAGCTTTCCGCTACTCATTGTTACGCCATCAAACGTGGTTACATCTCAGATGTTTATGTATCCAACAGATTTTTGGATTCTTACATGAAATTTGGGTTTTTGGGTTATGCCCACAAGTTGTTCGATGAAATGACTCATAGAGATTCCGTTTCTTGGAACACTGTGATTTCTGGATACACGAGCTGTGGGAAATTGGAGGATGCGTGGCGTTTGTTTACATGTATGAGAAGATCTGGATGTAATGTTGATGGGCATAGTTTTAGTAGACTATTGAAAGGGATTGCTTTTGCGAAAAGGATCGATCTTGGGGAGCAAGTGCATTCTTTGGTTGTAAAGAGAGGTTATGAGTGTAATGTGTTTGTTGGAAGTGCGCTTGTTGATATGTATGGGAAATGTGAAAGAGTTGAAGATGCTTTTCAGGCTTTTATGGAGATTTCAGAGCTTAACTCTGTTTCATGGAATGCTTTGATTGCTGGATTTGTGCTGGTTCGAGATATCGAGACTGCTTTTTGGTTGTTGGGTTCTATGGAGATGAAAGCTGCTTTGACTATGGACGATGGTACTTTTGCTCCACTTCTTACTCTGCTTGATGATCCGATGTTTTTTAACTTGTTAAAGCAAGTCCATGCTAAGGTTTTGAAACTCGGGCTTGAACACAAGATAACTATCTGCAATGCGATGATCAGCTCTTATGCAGATTGTGGTTCAGTATCAGATGCGAAGAGAGTTTTTGATGGCTTGGGTTGCTTAAAAGACTTGATTTCTTGGAATTCAATGCTCACTGGTTTCTCTAAACATGAGCTAAAGGAATCGGCTTTTAAACTTTTTATTGAAATGCAAAGGACTCGGATAGAAGATGACATTTATACTTACACCGGCATATTAAGTGCTTGCTCTGGCGAAGAACATCAAATTTTCGGAAATTCCTTGCATGGTTTGGTGATTAAGAAGGGACTGGAGCAAGTAACTTCTGTCTCAAATGCATTGGTCTCTATGTATATTCAGTTTCCTACAGGGGCCATGGAAGATGCTCTGTCTCTATTTGAATCGTTGAAATCTAAGGATCTTGTCTCTTGGAATTCAATTATGACAGGGTTCTCCCAAAAGGGGCTCAGTGAGGATGCGATGAACTTCTTTAGCTTATTAAGGTCTTCATACATAGAAGTTGACGATTACGGTTTCTCTGCAGCTCTTAGATCATGCGCAGACCTAGCAACACTCCAATTAGGTCAGCAGATTCACGCTCTAGCCACTAAATCAAGCTTCGAGTTGAACGAGTTTGTAACCAGTTCTCTGATCTTGATGTACTCAAAATGTGGAGTAATCGAGAATGCTCGAAAGTGCTTTGATCAGATTTCCTCCAAACACAGTACAGTAGCTTGGAACACAATGGTGCTGGGATACGCTCAGCATGGTTCAGGCCAAGTCTCTCTGGATCTCTTCTCCCAAATGTGTAACCAAAACGTGAAACTAGACCATGTAACCTTCACAGCAATTCTAACAGCTTGTAGCCACAGCGGTTTAATACAAGAGGGACTCGAGTTGCTCAACTCGATGGAAACAGTTTACAAAATCCAACCTCGAATGGAACATTACGCAGCTGCGGTTGATCTCTTAGGCAGAGCAGGTCTCGTGAACAAAGCAAAAGAGTTAATCGAATCAATGCCATCAAACCCTGATCCAATGGTGTTGAAAACTTTTCTTGGAGCTTGTAGGGCTTGCGGGGAGATAGAAATGGCTACTCAAGTGGCTAACCATTTGCTAGAGATCGAACCAGAAGATCATTTCACGTATGTCTCTCTGTCTCATATGTATAGTGATCTCAAGAAATGGGAAGAGAAAGCCAATGTAAAGAAGATGATGAAGGAGAGAGGTGTAAAGAAAGTTCCAGGTTGGAGCTGGATCGAGATTAGAAATCAAGTTTACGCCTTTAACGCCGAAGATCGATCGAATCCTCTTTGTCAAGAGATTTATTCGATGATTGAAGATTTGACTCAGGAAATGCAGTGGCTTGATTCTGATACCAATGGGTTTGATCAAGCTTCACTTCTTTGTTAAAGTCACTTTTAGTAGTTGTATTTTGCAGCTAAAAGGTCAATTTGAGTCATTCAAAGAGTTCTTGACTTAGTAAGTTGTCTTTTGTTATCATTCACTTTGGATCAGTTCATCTCACTGTGTTGTCGACAAAAACAAATAAAAGTCTCTTCATTAAACATAAAGACATATAAGCCACCAGCAACACATGTAAAAGATATGTTTGTCAACGTAAAAAAATGCATTATCTAAAACACTCCCAAGTGCACACGGCAGCACAATGCTCTTTTAATTTTATGTTCTTTGTCAACTCCCACATTTAATTTAAATATAATTACCAAATGTGTAAGTCATCCCATGAATACCAAAATGTGGCGTGAACATTTCTTAATTGTTAACCTTTGCCGTGAGCTTTTAAATTTGGCCTAATCAGAAAAATTAAAGGATGTTGACTTTTAAAAATAAAATAGAATTTTAAAAAATGTTATAAACATTCAACGGTTGACAAGTATAATTATTACATAAGATTCACGTATGCAGATAACAGTAATTAAAGATTTAGATTCATAAATATCGTTAAAAAATGGGAAATACTAATCTGTACACACAGAAGATCAAATATTAATATGTTTTGGACAAAAATACCTTTATATATAGATAACAAAATTTTTTGCGAGATAACGTAATAAATATCAATAAACTGTAAAAAAAAATCATTATTTAATGTTTATAATTTTCAACTTCGAAACTACAATACTATGATTTAGCACAATGAATGATTTAACACATTAACTATGAATTCTATAATAAATGATTTAACACGATAACTATGAGTTTACCATAAAACTTTAATTTATCGCGATACAATATGATTTATACTCTTAATAAATTATTTAACATATTAACTTAGACAATTAAACCACAAAAATGTTTTACTATATCATATTTTAAACAATGTCTTCGATCTCGGATGAAAAATGTCAAGATTTGATAATTCTTTACTTATATTTATAAGATGTAATGTATAATTTATCCCGTTAAACATATTGTTAGTTCTGTAATAATATAGTTATCCATATTCATAAGCTATAAAAACTAGTTATAAAAGAAAATTACGAATGATTTATTATATCGTTAATGAATAGTGTTGTACCTATATTTGTTATTCGGTAGCTGATAACAATATAGTTAAATGTAATAATTCATGTGCAAGAGTAATAAAGCTACTTTTGTCATAAAAAAAAAGAGATGAGAGAGAACTAATTAAACAAAAGCTATGGTCAGATTATTAATTTTTCATTTATCTATGTATATACTTTTAACTCACCCTTAAAAAATTACAATACAAATAACACATTTAGAACCACATAAAGTACAATAATTGTTAACACATTTACACAAATACAATCAAATTTGTAAGAGTTCACTACTAAATTTACAGCATTTCTATCAATCAAATGATAATTAATCATTACATTTAAATTTCTTGTAAGAGTTGTTTTTCTCTCTAAACCAATCAACCCAATTACGTATAACCCACAAAACACTAACCAAAATAGCAAAACCAATCACAACAAGCCACGACAACCATGCCCACCGTGGGATAACTCCCTCCGCCGCACCGCTGCCGTAAAACGCAGCCATATCGTACAAAACCACCGGACCAGCCAATCCACGAACAAGCGTGTAAAACAAGTAAAAAGGCGGAGACAGTAGCTCTCTCACTCTCCTCGCCAATACGACGTCGTGTTTCCTATACCCTGCGATCGTCCACGCGTTCTGACACGCGCTCGTCGCCTCGGCGAGGATCAAGAGAAGGAGAAGGGCGTGAGCTCCGTGACCGACGGCGAAACGACACGTGGCGAAGACGTAGAGCGTGGCGATGTGGTGGAGGATGAAGATGAAGTCGTTAGGGATGAAGATTAGGTAGTGGAAAAGATCGACGGTGAAATAAGCCATGCTGAAATCGAGTACGGTTGACTCCACGGCGGTGTTGGGTGAAGCGAATGAGTGTACGGTGGCGCGTGGGGTTGTGAGTAGCGCGTGAGAAGCCATTACGACGGCGGGTGTGCCGTGGAAGAGTGACATTAAGCAGCTAGCTCCTAAATGTGATGATGATTTCCATGACCGGAAAATTATGAAATTTCCGATGAGGTTTACGGTGAGGAAGAGGAGGAGAAACGACGGAAGTGTAGCCGGGAAAAAAGAATGATTAAACGACGACGTTTCCATGGTTCTGTTTTTGAAATTGTTTAGGAGGTTGTTTAATGTGAGTGGCGGGTTTTAAATTGAGAGGTATAAAATGGTTAGGTGCGGTGAGGTGTACGGAATGTACAGTACATCTAAGATTCAGGATTCGTAGCCGTTGGATTGAGGAGTAAGATTTTAAGTTTGACCTGTATTAGTGTGCGTGCTTACAAGTTATGCTCTGGTGCTTATTTCGATTATTCGTTTCGTAATTTAAGGATTTCATAATAATTTTACTTGTAAATAAGAAAAATATTATGTAAATCATCGAGTTGTGAAGCAAATTATCTTGAATTTGTTGTATTCTGATATGGATTTAAAAACATGTTTTTACTTTATGTACTAAGTGTTATACTACTGCACTTGAAACTGCCTAAACAACCATATCCACGTGAACTTTACTAGATGATTTTCACTAGATGATTTTACAGCTACTATTGATGATGATGACATTGAATGTTGAATTCGGAATTCGGAACATATATTGGAAGGAACTATACATAAAGTTCTAATGATGGCATTGGATATATGAGAGTTGATGATATCAAAGTAAGAAACAAAACCGGTATGCTCTGAGAATCTGAATCACATGATGGAGAGATGATTATAATAACCTCAACCTTCTGTGAATCTATGAGCACAATTGGGGCAAGTGTAGTATGTTGTCTGTCCTTCATCCGCTGACCTCGTCTGCAAAAAATCAGAAGTCTCCAATGAACACAAATTCTATGGAATTGACATTGAGACAGAAGAAAAAAGCACTTGAAACAAGGATCCGAAAGCTTGAGGATTATACCTGTCTGGTTGTGTATACAAGCTCCGGGTGCTGGCATTTCTCGCACGCCTTTTTGATCTGCAAAAAAAGAAGAATCATTAAAACCACAAGTTATGGACTGAGACAGAAAGGCAGATAAGTCTGGTTACTTATAAACCTTTGGTAGCTGCTCATCTTCCTGCTGCTTTTCACCAAACAGAGAGATTCCTAGTTCTCTTCTGATATCCTGCAAAAAGCCAAAGATCATGAGTTGTATACTAATGTTCATGATGCAATGTTCTTGCAAGAATAACAAAACAGTCTCCAATGTTCAGGCCTTAAAACTAATTACATAGCAGCAAATCGTTTTTTCACTTTGTGTATGTGTGTGTGTGTGTGTTCATAGTCTTATTAACAATGGATTAACACAAATCTAGAGCAGAGAGATTTATACTACTTCGTGGAACAGAAACCTAATGTGATTGATCTACACACAGCTTGTGAATAACATACATATTATATATTATATGGTGAAGCAAAAACATACCTCAGCAGAAACTTTGTAAGCTATATCCTTGTCAATGATATCTGAAAAACAAAGACAATAAAAGTACAGTAACAAAATTAACAAACCAAGAAACAAAGAAACAAGACAGTTCTGATTTGATGATTATGATAAAGAGAAAAATCCATGGATACCTTTAGCCTTTCTCGTTGTTTTGCAAAGTGGACACTCGGCATGCTTTCTTGATTTCAAGATCAGCATCGTCCCACACAAACCACAGAATAAGAAACCACTTTCTTGAGCTTTCTTCATCACAGAGCCTTTAAACAGAAACAAACACATATCAACATAAAACTTCAATTGCTACATAGATTTACTAGCAAGTGAGACATTACAATCTAAACGTTTTACTCATCGGATGAGTAAAGTTAGCATCTTTAACTTCAATTAAGTCTCTTAACATCATTATTTAGAACTTTACCAGTTTGTACTATAACATCAAAATACAACTAAGAGCTCTGTAAAACTCATACCCGGAATCGAAAAATCAATACTTTAAAAGTTCAAAAATTCGAGCTAACTAATCAACGCATACATCTAATAAACCCCATTGGAACATCAAATCTACATATATGCATCTATAAGCTCGAACAGAGATATTCCAACAGAATTGAATTATATCATCAAGTACCTTTGGTTTAGGAGCGAGTATGCTTCCGCTGGAGAGAAACAAGTAACTAGGTTTAATGGGAGATGCACAGATGTATAATGGGCTTAAAAGATAATCATAAGGCCCATTTAAAACCATTTTCGGGTCTCTATAAATAACAACTAGAGCCCATGTAATGAGAGCTTTGACTTTTGTTTTTCCTTCCAAGTATTTTTCTTTTATTGATGAATGAAATTATGATTAATTTTTAAAAAAAAAAACTCTAGATTTATATAAAAAAATTCTGCAAACTCCAATAATAGGTGTAATAATAGGTGCAAACATCAAAATACAACTAAGAACTATGTTAAACTCATAGCCGGAATCGAAAAATCAAGACTTTAAATGTTCAAAATTCGAACTAACTAAGCAATGCATACATCCTCTAAACCATTCTAAAACAGAGATATAGCAATAGAACTAGAGAATCATTACCTTTGGTTTACGACCAAGTAATGATGCTTCCGCATAGAGCGTCTGGAGATAAACAAGTGACTAGGGTTTGATGGTGTGACAGCAGATACGTATAATGGGCTAAAAATATAATCGTAAGGCCCATTGAAAAATCGTAATCGGGTCTCTGTAAATAAAAACTAAAGCCCATGTAAACAGCAAGCGAGAGCGTACCTTTGTTCTAGCACGGAAGGTTTGACTTTAACCAGATGAAATTGTGTTTAAATTAGTTTTATTTTATAATTTATAAATTTTTATTTTTCTACCAACTCTAGATTTTATATATTTTTTTGTTTTTCTACCAACTCTAATAATTAGTGTTTTTATGTTTATGTCATGAATCCATCACTCATTAGTGAGGCGTGAATCCGACAAAGAAAATAATGTTTTTATGTCATCAATGGCGTGTTTCCGGCAATTACCAAACTAATAATGTTTTTTTCATATGAGGATTTGGTGTATTATTATTGTTAAGTAAATACAATATATTTGTCAAATGAAATCATATTATTCAATTGTTTTTCTAGTATGTATAATATTATTAGACTTAGCATTGTGTATTCGGATTTGGATTACACCTCTTCTTACTCACCCCTTTGAATCTTTCATGTAAAAAACTTTTTGAATCTTTCATGTAAAAAACTTTTTGAATCTTTCATGTAAAATGATTTTCGCAAACGCAATACGTACGAATTAAGCATTTGAATGAAACCTTTGTGATTAAGTTATCTTTCGTCGACAACATTATACAGTAAAACCTCTATAAATTAATACTCGATAAATTAATAATCTCTATAAATTAATAAAATTCTCCGGTCCCAACTTGGGACAAGTGTAATTTTAGACACATTTCGATAAATTATAAGATAATAATTTTTTGAAAATCCTTTGTAAATATATAGTCCCATCAATATTATAAATTAATAATTAGGTAAAATTTCAAAATATATGTATATATAGACACATTAATTTTTGTTAGAGTTTATTTCTAATATTTTACTATATCAAAAATTATTAGCAAGACAAAATAATTATTATTTTCTTTGTAATTGATTATATAAAATACTAATTATCATAATTAAATCTTATTTTTAAATATTTTTTTGAAAAAACTTTCCAAATTAGAAAAATCTTTCTATAAATTAATAATTATTAATTTATCGATAAATTAAAACCTCTATAATTAATAGATTTTCATGCTCCCAACATTATTAATTTATAGAGGTTTTACTGTAATATAGAAAGATTAGCTCAAATAAGCCAAACCGAAAGATTATTGTTTACGTATTAGATAAATTGCGGTTGTACATAAAACATTGCATGCCAGTTTAGTGATCAAGTGATCCATCCAATATACAGTTTTGCAAATTGTGGGATTGGACTTGAAGGGTATAGCTGAATTTTCCCGTTTTGGTTCATATAGTGTAACTTATTGTTTTGTATATCGTATAGTTTTATTTTTTATTATGTAAATGAGAAGAAGAAAGAATCAAGTCGTTAACCCATACTTTTCAATTACCCAATCACCTAAGATATGTTTTTATATTACTTTCTTTGACATGTTAATCCACTTCCAAAATAATACTATAAAAGTTGCACAATGATCGAAGAGGGTTTAAAGCAGAAGCTTGAAGAAAGAAGTAAACAAGAAGAGAAGAAGATGAAGAACGTTATGGTGGTCATTGACGAGAGCAACTCAAGTTATGAATTACTCATTTGGGCTCTTGAAAACCACAAAGAGACCATTGAGAGTTCCAACGTTTTTATCTTTGCAACACAGCCACAAAACTCTTTTACTCCTCCCACTGTGCTCTCTTCATCAGTAGGCTTTGCTCAAATCTTCTATCCGTTTTCACCTAGTAAGTTTTGTTGTGTCGAACGATCGGCAATAGTATGTAATATTTCTATAAGCTAAGTTTTTATAAGTGTGTTCTTCTTGAATGGTTTTTGCAGATTCAGAACTGATAAGATTGGCTCATGAAAAGAATATGAGAATTGCTTTGGGTATATTAGAGAAAGCCAAGAACATTTGTTTAAGTCATGGGGTAATCTCTTGACCAAGTTATATCATAATATTTATAAATATTTAGGTTTATATATATATGATTAATTAGTCTCATGTCTCTCATCAAATAATGTTTTGAAACAGATTAAAGCAGAGACATTTACATATGCTGGCGAACCTAATGACCTAATCCCAAAGATCATTCAAGAACGACAGATCGATGTATTAGTTATGAGCGCTCAACAAACTCAAAAGTGAGTTTAAGGTCATTAATTATAAGTATTTTTCAAATGTTTTTTTTTTCTATTCAATATAGAAACTTGATTTGTAGTAGTTTTATATAAAATATTTTGAGATAACTAGCTAAAATCTTTTAACCAAATGCAGGTGTTTACATAATATGATGGAGATTATGATGTAATGATTATTATAGTTTGAGTTTGTAGTTGAAGTTTGAACTTAAATAATTATGGGTATGTGTACATTATATACTATATTTATAAGGTTAATATAAGTAAAATATTATTTTTTCTTATTGGCACTGTTTTCTGTTTCAAACTCAACCACTTCATTCATCACACATGGGTTATAATTTCTTTTAATATATATTAAAACACTTAATAAAATATGTAAAATTGTTCCGGAAAATCCAAATTTTATAAGATTTTGTAGCTGAACACACAAAGTTTAAAAATTAATAAATGTGTTCTTATTCTAAAAAATTCTACCAATGGAAATGGATACCGCACAATTCAAATAGCCATAAACAATTAAAATTATTATAATTTTTGCATACAAATTACAAACTTAAGAAAATCAAATAAAATGGAACAATCTTTATTCTTTAGGAACAGAGAGAGTTTACAATATGTTTGGACGTTAACCAAATCCAGATGGGCTAAATGTTTTAACTGAAAGGCCCAATAACTAACAATTCGGTACGACATTTTGAAACGTCGTCGTTTAGGTTTTGAGTTTCATATGAAAGTTCTCATCTCTATCTCTCTCGTCATCCCTTATCCTTGAAGAAGCTTTTAATCTCTTTTCCATCTGTTGTTGAGCCCTGTGACCACCATGGCTACTCCACTCTCAATCTCATCAAATCCTCTCACCTCTCGCCATTGTTACCGTCTCCACTTCTCTTCCACATCATTCAAGGTAATCACTCATTCTTCTCCAAATGCTAATTTCACACCCACACACTCGCTTCCAAGTCCGTAGCATTGAGCAAATCCGAAATTGAAAATGTCTACAGGGTAATGTAAGCGTATTGGGAGCAAACCCAAGTCAGATTCTTTCTCTCAAACTCAACCAAAAGGTTCAAACGAGAAAGCAATTTGCGAAGCCACTTGTTGTGGTTAGCCAAACGGCGGCGGAGGGAGCAGTAGCTCCTCCGGAGAGATTCCGTTTGAATAACCTTGGACCTCAGCCTGGTTCTAGAAAGAGGCAAAAGAGAAAAGGTAGAGGTATCTCTGCAGGACAAGGAGCGAGTTGTGGTTTTGGTATGAGAGGTCAGAAATCAAGATCGGGTCCTGGGATTATGAGAGGCTTTGAAGGTGGTCAAACTGCTCTTTACCGTCGTCTTCCCAAACTTAGAGGAATCGCCGGAGGTATGATTCTTCGGTTTTTGTTTTGAACTATGGAAGTTTTTGTGTAGGCAAAATGTTCGATGAAATGTCTTATCCACGGACTCGGTTTAATCTAGTGATAGCTTCTTACTGTTTATTTGGTTAGAATTGAGAACTAAGGATTAAGATTGTAGTTAGTGAATTTAGCTGTTTTGTGGTTTTATTATTCTACAAAGCTCAAATCAGTTTCTAAGAAAGATCCTTCTTTGATCCATTACCTCGTTTAGTATCCTGATGCAGTCATTGCGTGTTGTTGTGTTCTTTTTAACAGGGATGCGTTCAGGATTACCAAAATACTTACCGGTTAATCTCAAAGACATCGAAACAGCTGGATTTCAGGAGGGAGATGAAGTTTCATTGGAGTCACTAAAGCAAAAGGGTTTGATTAATCCTTCAGGGAGGGAAAGGAAACTTCCTCTAAAGGTTAGTTTTCCAAACTGTATTGTTTTTTAGTCGAATCATACATTCATCTTTTCTCTGTATAAACACTTTTGACTGGTCTTGGGTTTCAGATTCTGGGAACTGGAGAACTAAGTATGAAGCTCAACTTCAAAGCTCGCGCCTTTTCAACACAAGCAAAAGAGAAACTTGAAGCTTCAGGATGTACACTCACTGTGTTGCCCGGAAGAAAGAAATGGGTTAAGCCATCGGTTGCAAAGAACCAAGCGCGAGCAGATGAATACTTTGCCAAGAAGAGAGCTGCAGCAGGTGAAGCAACTTCTGAGCCAGCAGCTTCTGCTTAAGTTACTTCATTCTCAAACTCTCTCTTTTTTTAACGTTGTAAAGCTGCAGAAGAGATAATTGTCTATGAGAAGCGTTTAGTTCCAATGCCTTGTAGTCTTTTTTTGTGTATGGTTAAGATATTTATATTTTGTTGATCTAAGAGTTTATTATCAGAATTATTTGTAAACGGTATAAATTATTTGAAACTTTTTTTTTCAATCTCCAACGAAATTTTACAAAATAGGGTTTTATAAGAGGGGTTATTACTACAATGTTTCTCCCATTTTTCTTTTCCATAAACTCCAAACACAAACTGTAGATCTTAAGAGGCATCACTGCTCTTCTTCATCATCATCATCATCAATGAAAGCTCTTCTTCTAACACGTCGTCTTCGGGTTCCAGACTCTTGTTCATCAGAAGATTGATTATCTTCCTCATCTCTGGATGATGTTCCTGTATTACTACCTTCATAGCTCTCACCCCAAAGCCTTGAAGGTCTTGAAGATCTTCTTCTCCCACCTATCTGTGACCTAGCTCTAGATGCACCTGACCAGCTACTCCTTGGACCACTTGACTCTGGTCTAAAAACACGGATAAGTAAGAACACTGTAAGCCAGCCACCATCATCAAACAGATCATCAGTACTTCTTTCTTCTCCTCCGAATGAAGATTGGAGTGTGCTAATTAAATCCCCTAAATCTCTCTGTCTTTCTAGCCTCCTCCAGCTCCTCTGTCTCTCTGGATCTGCTTCTGATGGCCTTACTCCTGGATGCTGAACCCTTGCGTGCTTTCTTAGATCGGAGTAGGTTCCGCTGAAATCACAAGTCTCACAAGAACAGCTTCTATGCTTAGAGTTCATGAAACATCGAGCAGGTTCAACAACTACCCATTCTTTTATATGTCCACGGCATAACGGGCAAGTAAGCTTAGGTGGTTTGCTTTTTTCATTGTCGTCATCTGTTGCTACAATTTCTTCTTCTACTAACCCTTCTCCATTCTCACCTTCCCTTAAATTCACAACTGTTACCTCAGATGCAGCCTCTTCTCCTAGATTTACAGCAGTTGAGTCTGAAGCTACATTTTCTGTCTCAGTTGGTACACTACTTTCCTCTAGTTCATGAGGTAAAGACAAAGAAGGTTCCTCTTTAGAAGCCTTTCTGAACTGATCAAAACAGTTAGAATGCCGATGGCTAGTGTCACACATGTAAGGCCGACAACCGTTTTCATAAGAAGAACAAACGAGAAGAATCCCGTTATGAGGATGCTCCATACATACAGGACACCTAGCTTCTTCCCATTCCTTAACTTGTTTATCACTCGGCTTCAAAGCACGACTTGACTCACAACACAGCGGCGATCCTCTATACCTATCATGAGATACCGAACGGTCTTTTCTCTCTTTCGGCATGTTCTAGAACTAATACTAAGAACCTGCAAAGAAACTAACTTCTCATAAGTAAGATCAAACAGTAATAACAACAATCCAAAGGTTTTGGCTGAAGCAGGAACAAAATTGTTAAATCTAAAATCGAGAAAGATTGAGTATAGATCTATATAAACAGCTCCAAAAGTCATCATTATTACAAATTGCAATCGCACAGAAACTAAGTTCATAGCCTAACTTAGAACAAGATGAATCGAAACAAACACGAGAAAGTCTATGAGATCTTAAAGCAACTAGTTTCGAATCGAATCATATGATACTTCGATTAGCGAAAATACAAAAAAAAAAAAAAAAACTCATACCACTAGAAGCAACGCCAATGTTGGTAGAAAACCCTAAAACTCGAAATGGTGAAGATAAAGTGAGAAAGAAGACGAGATTACCAAAGGAGAGCTTCGTGAAGATGGTGGGAGTTGATATAATCAATGGTAAGAAACCCTAAATCGTCGGGCTCCTCATTGAGAGAGCCAACGAGGTGATTGAGAGACGAGGTAGATGAGGCGGCTGCTTTACTTTTCTTTTCTTTTTTTTTTCTTTTTTTTTTTTGTTTCCCGAGAGAGATAAAATAAATTGGGAAACTTATTGTATTTAAGGAAAACATAATTTAGTGTCGACATTTTTATCTCTACTCGTAAATGCTTACTTACTTCTTGTATATTTTTTTGGGAATTTTGTTTGCTCTGCCATTTTTGAAACTCAAATTTGTTTAAATGCCATTAACCAAAACCTCTTTCAAAACATGCCACAAAAAAAATATTTGAACGATTTTGCCCTTGTGCATTGTTGAATGAGCAATCAATGAGAGCATTAAATGGAAACAAGGTATGCTAATACCCAAAGGATATTCGATTGATTAAAAAATTTATAAAATAAAGCTAAAAGTAAAAACCAGATATAATATGTGTTAATAGAGGACAAGTAACCTAGAGATTTTATATGAGTTGTCCATCAAATAAATAAGCTTAGATGTGTAGGGATGTCCACTTGCCTATCGATGTGTGCACTATAGTCGATAGACAATCTATAAAATGATGTCAAAAATGGCGGACGAGTAAGTAGTAGACTGGTCTATCAAAACCTTATTTTGATAGATTCCGAAGAATAACTCCGCTGCATGTCCTCTCACGTGTAGTTAGTAGGCTTTTTACTCACACAAGGTTTGCCTAGGCTTTCTTAAACTGGTGAAGGACAAACACAAAGAATTGAGTTAGAAGAAGATATGGACAACTGTCTTGATGGCCATGTTTGGTGCAGTAGATCTGGTCCATCATTAATTACGCAGACAATATAAATACATGTATCATCCATCATTATTGGTTGTTCTTTTTCACTACCCAGCATTATTACCACACTAACATATGTATTATAGACAAGTTAGTTTATAAAAAATGGAACAACAAGTTAGGGAACAAAATATGGACATATTACAGACATCGGATCTGGTTTACTGGATCTAGCCCACAAGATTTGGTCCACCGAATCTAGTCCACGAGATCTGGTCCATCTATAGATAAATGTGTGGTTAAGAGTGTAATTATACATGGATCTTAGATGATATCTTTCATTGACGCATCACTTGTGTAATCATCTGGTAATTCGCTTATGGCTTTAGAAGATCTACGTGATGGACACGATTACTTAGTAAAAGTAGACAAGTTTGGTCCACCGAAACTGGTTCACTGGATATTGTCTACCAGATCTGGTCCATCGGAATTGGTTCGTCAGAAATAGAACACCTAATCTCTAGGGAGCATCTGCAAAGCTGATTGAGATCCCTTTGTAGGAGAAAACATGGGTGAAAAAGATCTCACGAACTGGTTCACTGAACATGGTCCACCGGATCTGATATACCAGATCTGGTCCATCGAATTGACCCATTAGAGATGCAACAGACAACTTCTAGACAACATCTGTAGAGCTGATTGATATCTTTTTGTTAGAGTTAATGCTGGTGGAATTAGAAATCTCTTGGTTTGTTACTGGAGAAAGAAAGAACAAAATGAAAGAACAAAAAAAAAAGACAGAGGAAAGAGAGAGAGAGAAAGAGACATACGAGAAAAAAGAAAAAAGAAAAAAAGTATGAAAGCCTGAAAGGTCACTTTCAATTTGCAGAGTTTATTAGCAAGAGGGTATAATCGTCTTTTATACAATGCGTTGTGGCAGGCGGGAGAAGGTAAAGAAACAAATGGCAATGAGTAGAAACTTTGTTACTGTACATGGCATAATTCACAAATTTCTCTATTTTTTTCTTCTTTTGATTTTAAAGCTAAATTTGACTAATTTTCTTATGATTTTCTCTTTATTTAAAAAACTTTTATTGCTAATTTTTATAAAAAAATTATTTTTATCAAAATATTTTAGTGGATTTAGTAATTGCATAATTTAATTACCATAGTTTTGTTGGAAAAAAATTTATCTGTTGAAAAATACAATATATTTACAGAAAATTTATAAATTAGCATTACAAAAATAAAATACTTTTGTCTTTATTTTTATTAATAGGTGATTAGTATTTAGTATTATTATTATCGAATTTTTGGTTGATTCGGTTGAATTGTAGAGATTACAGAAGTCAAAGTCAATACAAAATTTTTTTGGTGATAATTAGTTCGGTTCGGATATTAAATTGACTAAAATTTCTTAGGTTCAGTTCGGTTTGGTTTTAATGTCGAAGGAAGGCAAAACTCATCAGAGTCTCTCTCTCTCTGTCTCACTCTTTGGCTCTCAAAATGGGGGAAGCTAAGGGATCGACTCTAGTCTACATCCTCATCGTACTCCTCAGCTTAATTGCCTTCGGCTTCGCCATCGCCGCCGAGCGCCGCCGCACCGTTGTAACTACCATTTCCTCTTCTTTATTTTACTTCAAGATTATTATATCACAGATCTGTGTTTTGTTACTTACTAAACTTGTTCGAAATCACTGAGTAACTTGGTTTTGATCTGTTTCATATCTTCTTGAGCCAGGGGGAAACTATTCAAGATCCAATATTCAATACAACGTATTGCGTTTATAACTCTGATGTTGCTACTGGCTATGGTGTTGGATCTTTCCTTTTCCTTCTCTCAAGTCAATCATTGCTTATGAGTGTCACCAAATGTATGTGCTTTGGCAAATCTCTAACCCCGGGAAGTGACCGAGCTTGGTCTATTATCTACTTCTTCTCCTCTTGGTGAGTGTTTTCCACGATACATTAGCTCTGCATATAAAACTTGATACCTCGTTGTTGAATCTTTTGATTTGAAGTTCATAGGCTTCTATGTCTAAATCTGTATTGTTTTGCAGGATCACGTTTGTTGTAGCAGAGGCTTGTCTTATAGCTGGTGCAAAGAAGAATGCATACCACACAAAGTATTTGAAAGCTGGTACGTTTTCGTGTGATTCATTGAGGAAAGGCATTTTCATTGCAGGAGCAGTTTTTGTGGTTGCTACGATGATCCTTAATGTTTACTATTACATCTACTTTACCAAATCTGTCTCCTCAACATCGGCTCAGAAAACGAACCGATCCGGTTCCGCAGTTGGTATGACGGTGGGTTATGCGTAAACAGAGTTCAAATCAGTGTATATGTCTATGTTTACATTGTAAACCTTTGTGTAGCTTGGCTACTTTACATAATTATTCACTGCCTCGTAGTTGCGCAATCTTGTTTATGTTCCTGAGAACCACCAAGTGGTTGTAAGAACTAAGAAAGCAAGATATACATTAGGGGCTGCAAAAAATCCATTTCACATTGAACTTTTTCACATATTTATATTTGGGCCTTTGTTGAGCAATTTTTATATTTGTTCTTATTTCAATCAATTCCACATTGATATTTTTAACACAACTCAAACTCAAATCAGTGGACTAGTTAGAGACTAGTTAAGCCATAAATCACAAAGAGAGAAAAATAGAAAAGAAAAAACTCATGTTACGTAAAATTAAAATAGTTACTTTTTCTGAAGTTAAAAAAAGTAGTTAGTTTAGTTGTGTGAATGAGTGGCACAATGAATCTAAAACTAAAAACTAAAATTAGTAACAATTGGATGAAATATATGATTGGAAAAAGATATAATATGCAAAGTGACAATTCTTTAGTAAAATTGTTAAACCATATTATATATCACACAGTACGAAACATAATTAAACACTTATTAGGTTAAATAAATATGATTTTGTCCAAAAAAAAATTTGTTAGTCTAGTTTACTGGCTTATTGGAATCAAAATTAAAATTAGTAACTACATGATGAGATATATGATGGAAAAAGATATACAAAGTGAAAATTCTTTAATTATCAATTGAATTGTTTTTAGTTTTAGTATAGTATAATTCAAACAAACAAAAATTGTCTACTGAATTGTTTTTATGTAATAATAATTTGAAATAATAATATTAGGTGTTGGAAAAAAAGAAGTTTAAAAGTAATTGGTCCAACTCCTACCCAAAAAATAAATAAATGGTCCCGTTTGAGTTCGTCCCGTGAGATCATAATGAGCCTAAGCGGAACGGACCGGTATTCCCATCCACTGTCAGAAGCGGAAGGTATTCACTACTTTGTGAAACCAGCCTCACACAATGTTCTCCTCTCTAAGAACTACGTGATCTGAACCTTGTGTTTTGATCGGACAAGTCAGTGAAAACCCAGCTTTAACTCGACCACTTGCCCACTTGGACCGAACCAACATTCCAATTACTTGTTTGCCCTCACTTGAGTCACAAACTCTCGCTACTGAGCTCAGCAAACATTACTTTTTCATTCTCTATATAAAGATGACTTTTTGTGCTTCATGTTTTCCAATGTGAGACTTTTAAGTTTTTTTTGTAGTAATTTACTTTTATTAATTAATTAAACCAACCGATTTTTTTACATATTCCTAACAAAAAATATTGTTTGGAAATGTTATGTTTCAAAAACCTAGATTAAAATATTTGTTTTTTAAAAAAGCTTAATTGAAAATGGATGAAACATTTGTAATTTTTCTTTTAAACTGTTTTGGTTGATATTTTTTTTTCTTTAATTTTAGGACACATCGACTAGAAAAATGATCGATTAATCCAATATATACTATATAGATAATAAACTAGTACAATATTGATGAACGACCATCATGGCTTCTACCTTGTTTGTAATACGTTTATATTAATATAAGTTAGATGTTAAAAAAAAAAAAAAAAAAAAAAAACTAATACTTACTCTATTTTTTCTTCCCTTTCTTCATTCGCATCCATAGATTACTATAATTATCGATCATTGTTAATTCTCACTTTGTTTTTTTTGTTTAGTTATGTTTATAATTACAGAGACACCCCTGACCCCTGATGATATCTATAACATAATTAGTCCTTATCTGAAGCATCACGAAAAAGGTTTTGGAATCACATACACTGACGATATTGTGATCTTGCACAATTCTGACACGAAGAGGATTAGAGGAAGAAGATGCGTATCGAACAATGCAAGAAGAAGAGACCAAAGTAATAGGAGAAAATTAAAGAGAGGAACAAAACAAACACAAAACGGCAAAGTACAGTTAGTGAAACGACGCCCCTTTTCTACAAACCATCCAAACGAACGAACCATTTTTGTGTTTGTATAGAACATTACCAGACGTAACCATTAACCATTGTTTCCTCTTTACGTCACATTTCCTCATACTCGTAAGCAGTAGTAAAATATAATCTTACATGAAAGTTCCATAAATATGTGGTAAAATGCTATTTCTCGTGCAGAACACACGTCTACCTGAGGTGCTTAGTGCAACGATCAGAAGCAAACAAGCCAATTTCATCCCTAGAACATTAGCTTTCGTAAGCAAGTGGTAACGATATAAAAAAAGGTTTAAGGAATGTGAGTAAATAGTTTTTGAGAATTTTTTTACTTGTTTAAAGAATTAAGATGAGATTTCATTATGCTAAAGAAAACAGAAACGAGAAGAAGTAAAGGTCGTAATTAACTAGAATGAATCGGTGTTGTTTAGTAACTTGAAAAGACACAGAGACTTGAACAAAAGAAATATATTTTACTAAGAACACACACTTATAATCATACAAACACAGACACACTCGTTAAAAACTCTGAAACAAAACCACGAGTAATCCTCTATGTAGTGTGCAGGAAGCATATGAAACAGCAAGAATATAATAGAGAAACAAGACACAGTTCGGAGGGAAGCAGAGTCGGGACAAGAACCGATCCCTTGCCTTCCACGCAACCAAAACTTGTATCTAATATTGAAGGTTTTTGACCTGCCAAGCAAGCGCACCTGTCATGGCAAAGGTCATATACATATCCCCTCATTACTCTATTTTCTACATCTGCTTCTATAGATCATTCTTCACCAACCAGAGTTGATTAGAGAGTCATCGAGAGATGATATGATTAAGTCAACAAGAGTTGATATGAGGATCATCGATAGATGATAACATCAACAAGAGTTGATTGGAAGATCATCGATAGATGATAACATCAACAAGAGTTGATTGGAGGATCATCGAGAGATGATATGATAAATCAGCAAGAGCTGATTGCAGCATCATCGAGAGATGATATGATCAACAAGAGTTGATTGGAGGAATCATCGAGAGATGATATGATCAACCAGAGTTGATTGGATGGATCAACGAGAGTTGACAATAAGATCAACAAGAGTTTATAAGATGTTGTTCTGTTCCCACGACATACCTAGAAGAATACGAAACAGATTGAGTTAGCACATACGTGTTATACAATCTTACATGATATGTAAGCACAAGATTAACAAACACAAGGATTTCAAAAACAATATATCTCGGACTACAGGATCAACGTCATGCCAGATACAGGACAAGACAAGCCAAACCCTAACAAGCAGATCATCAATTAGATAAAAAGATTCACAAGGATAATTAAAATAGAAACATAAAGAATCTCAAACCAAACTTACACGAAAGTAATCTGACCAAGATCCTTCCTTTATAAAACTTCTGATGTAGATCAACAAGGGTTGATTACATATATATCGAACGAGGGTTGATTATATATATCGACGAGGGTCGATGAAAAGAATCGACGAGGGTCGATGATAGGTATCAACAAGGGTTGAAAAGTATCGACGAGGGTCGATGATCGGATCAACGAGGATTGATCAGGACATGTTTTGTTCCCGTACGCTCATATAAGTCTCTCACAAAACACAAAAAACAGAGTTAGAGAATTCATACGAACCAAACACAAACAGAGTTAATCCATTAATTCTACAAGACCCGAAAGATTCATATACAGTAATAACAAGTTAACAACTTACCTCGATGAATACTCCGATCAGTCGCAAAACCCTAAAGAGATAGTAACAACTTACCTCGACGAAAACTTCGATCAATCGCAAATCGATGTAAAACCCTAAAAGAGATATGAGAAGATTTACTAAGGTAAAAATCAGAGAGAAGAAGCGATGAACAATTATGATCGATTACTTCTTTATTTATATAAAACGATGTTTAATTGAAGCGCCTTATTTAATTTTAGGGGGCTTTATTACGTACACATGGGCCTTTAGTATTTGGGCTGAGAACAAATTTAATGTCTAGTTGAGTAAATAAATATCTTATATGTCCCAATTAAGTAATAAAGATTTCAAATAATAGGAAATTACAATTTTTTTGCCTTTTTTAATTGAAGAGGATATTCCAATATCTAAGGCATAATAGATTTGTCTGAGAAATGTTATATGTCTCAATAACTTAGATTTTTGTTGAATTTTTTCAATATTAATTAAAACAAACCAATTTGTAAAATGATCCATTAAATCTAACGTTTTATATAACTAATAATTATTTATCATTGTCAAACGTGAAACCTCCCACTTTATTTTTTTCTTGTTTAATTAATCACAGAGATACCTAACTATATCCATAATATAAATTTCTAATCTGAAACATTACAATTCTTTTTTTTTTTTTTTGGGCCAGCCATTACCAAAAAAAAAAGTTTTGGAACCACATATATATACTGATAATGATGGGATCTTGCATAATTCTGACACGAAGAGGAAGATGCGGAACAATGCAATAAGAAAAGACCAAAGTAATAGGAGAGAAAAGAGAGGAACACAACAAACACAAAACGGCAAAGTGCAGTTAATGAAACGACACCCTTTTTCCCAAACTCTTCTGATCAAACCATATCAAACAAACGAACCATTTTTATTTTTTGTGTTTGTATTGAACATTACCAAACGTTATGATCATCACTGTTTACTCATTACGTCACATTTCTTCAGATCTTTTTCTCAACCAAAACTTATATGAAAATTCCATATATATATATTCACAAAATGTTATTTGACTTCAATATTGTTCTAAAAAGCAAACCTATATACAAAGATCCTACGACATCTATTGTAAAGCAAACTCCAAAACGACAACAATTTGAAAATTCATACCAAAAATGGGTAAGTACGTTGGTGGGTGATACATTTATTGGTTTCTTCAAAGTTATGTCTAACTCAAGAACCATCATCATATACATAAATTACAAATATACAAAGCAATATATGTAATTCTTGAGAATTCCATAATAAGATACAAAATTATTTGACGTATATAATATGTTCGTACTCTGCAGGTTAAATAATATATACACAAACACCAATACTATGGACCAATAATAGTACTATACCACTGTTAATCATAATTAGATATGTGAAATATGTACTACTAGTAATAGAACTAAGGCGAAATATATATAAAAAAAATCTAAAATTGATAAAAACTCAGATCTTGTCTTGTATTTATATATACCCATTCACGTGGGCCATTCAAAATTTGCATGAAAGCCACTCTTCTTCTCACAAAAACAAAACTTCAATCTCTCTCTCTCTCTCTCCTTCTCTCTCTCTCTCTCTCAATTTCAGAAACAGTCACATAAGAAGATATAGATCTAACCCAGAGGAGAAGAGAAAGACAGAGAGAGAGTGAGAGAGAGAGAGGAATCGATGATTAGGGTTTGATGATCAAGAAGACAAAGCTTTTATATATGTTAGGGTTTAGCTAGGTTTGGGACATGACTCAATATCATGCTCGAGTATGGAGAAGCTCTTTAACTACTACTCTACTAATGGTGATCTTGCTTTCTTCTCTTCTCCATCTCTTCTGTCTATATTCACGTGTAGAAGCAATTCGGGTATCTCAAGAAACTCCTGCTGCTCCGGCTAAGAAACAACAACAACAAGAAGATCTAATGAAGAAGTACTTCGGCGGCGCCGGGAAATTTCCTCCGGTGGATTCTTTTGTCGGAAAAGGGATCAGTGACAGTAAAAGAATGGTACCAAGTTGTCCAGACCCTCTCCATAACTAGTAGAAATCAGTTTCTTGATATTTCTTGTTTTTTTTTTTTTTTTCATTTTCATCTTTTTAATTATTTTCTTCTTGTTTTTTTTTTTTTTGTTAATGATGATCAATCAACTAGTGTATTTTACCCAAAATACCCACGTTTTTCTTGTTAATGTAAAGGAAAAACGAGGGTATTTTGGAGATTTAAATCACTGATCTATTAAAAGATCTCATATATATAATTACTTTTTCTCCTTGGCAATATTATTGTTTTCTCCATATACTATAAGAAGAGGAAGACTATAAAACCCTGTTAACATAATTGTTGTTTATATTTTCAGACATGGTTCTGATTTAAAAATAAAAATTCTGATCAGTTCTTCTTGGTACTCGTCACTTCTAATGAGAATACATTCATTACCAGCGAATCAAATTAATATATAAATATCACTGATTAAAACTATGATCCAATTATTACATACTCATAGACAATATAAATATACTAAGCTATATATAATATATATGGTAAATGGATATAGAGAAAGAGAGAGAGATGGTTTTGGTATATTAGAATGTTTGTGTGTGTTTAAATATGTTATTAACATTCTTATATTTTTCACCAAACAGGAAGGTTTGTATATAACTATACATATTAATGTTCACGGATCACACTCTTAACTATATTTAATTGCATGGGGCTAAGGATAATATTGAAAGATAAAGAAAACACAAAATGTGCATGGTAAGATTTTTTAGCAGCCATCAGACCGGTTGACTTGTTGTAGCAGGATGTGTAGTGCTGACTATAAGTCATGAAAAGGCTGTTTGCTTTTACCACTGAGACTGACCCAATCCAAAAGCTTGTTTCGTTTTTCCCCAACCTAAGGTGCTAAAAGGCTCCTAGAGTCAAATTTGTCTCTGGTTAAAGAACTATATCTAATGTAAATGTTCAAACCAAAACTTTAATCTTTCGACGACCAAAACTTTATCCATGGTAATGAACATAAATAATCACCTAGTTATGCTATGTGTTATACTAACAATCATGAGGAAATTTGTATTAGGACACTTTTGTAAAACGGATATGTAGGATAACACAAAGGTGTAAAAACTCTTATATTGGTAAAGATCAAAATCAATAAGCTTTACATTTGTCTAAAGATCACTGATCATAAGCTTCTACAAATTGATGATTAATATGTATACTACTAGCTAAGAGTAAACAACATTAAAAGATTAATTGCCATTGGGATTTGCGGACTATATATGCAAAGTAAGGGACACGAGACATCTAAGATTTTTTTTTTGGTTTCGAAAACAGTCAAGAAAACATAAAATAGAATAAATTGGTATGGACGGTAGCGTTTGGAATTATTCTTTTACACTTTAGAATATATTTACTCCATTGTACCAATTCTTAATAAAATCAAATGTAGACAACTTGTAATCGATTGAAATGAACGTAATGTAAAAAAGTTTTCATGGAAATAAGTAAAAAACTGAAATCCACGTGATCTACTAAAAGCTTACGAACTTTTTATTAAAAATAAGTGCTAGCTAGCATAAACTTGTCAAATTGAAATTACAACGATTGTATATGAAATTTAGTACCTTACACAAAATGTGCAATGGTTTATATGTTTTGAATTGCTTAGATCACTGATCTCGTATAATTGTATTTTAACCTTTGACTCAATCATTGTATATTTCTTCTACATTTTATATAACTCTTGTTTTATTTTGTTCTCATTTTATAAGAAAATATATTTTTCTAAAATAAAAATAAAATTCAAGAATTTACGTTTTACGTAATTTTTTTTTTCTATAATAGATCTACATATTAGGAATAAGGATGTCCCTTCGGGGACATCCGATAAAAAAAAAAAAGGATGGAATATTAGTTTTACTTACCGTTTTTGGTTAAACATGGGTCAAAACGAAGTTTATGCATTCGTTTTGTAATGGAAGATGGACTTGAAGTTTTCGAAATTCTTCCATTTTAATGCCACTTGATTTGTTGTATTCTAGTGGTAGTCAAAAAACGAAGTCAAGCATTTATCTATTTTTTTAAAAAAGTGTATAAGTTTTAGAATATTTTATAGAAAAATGAAAAAAAAAGGATTTAGGAAAAAGAGGTCTCGAATTTGGGTGTTTTATGAGAGAAAAGAGTAAACCAATGTTTGAAGCGCCACGTAATATGCGGCGAAGGGGTTTTCATGTCTTCCTCTTTGTCCCTTTCTGTTTGGATTTCAGAATCTCTTTGACTATTTCTTTTTTACTATTTCTTTTATCACTATATTAGTAAAAACAATATTACTTCCAAAATGCTCATATTTGGATTTCAATATATAAACCCATTTATTTACAAGCAATTTCAAAATTTCATAAATATTATATTTCTACCTCGAAGTAACTGAACTTCCACAAACCTTACATTTCAAAGTGATTTCTTACCTCGGTAATTTTTTTATATGTTGGCATGAAATTCTTAAGATATTTTTTTTATAATTAATATATATATATACATTATATATATATATATATATATATATCGGTACTAAGAATTAAATAAAATAAGTTGTGGTAAAAAAAAGTTGATTTAATATGAATTTTCATGGTCTCTTCTCTAGTTATTAATTCCAAACATTTGTTTTTTCAAGAATATTTGAGATGAAAAAGAATGAAACCTTTTGATTATTGACAAACGAATATGTAGTTAAATTACTAAATTGTTTATACTCGTTGGTTGACATAGTTTATTTAATTAGATTTGCATTTAGAAAATAACACAATTGTTTTTTTCCATATGTGTACATTATTAAATAAATTAGCTTTTTCATCATATAAAAAAATGAAAAATACATAAAGAGGCAGGATTACTACATTTTTGAAAATTTATAATAATATATTTGAAAATAAATGTAATAACTCTTACATTTTTGTATTCTTCATTGATACGGTAACATTTACAAATTTGTTGGATAACGAGACGAATACATCTTGTTTTATTTCTTGTTTATCAACAGATTAGCTATTGTAATTAACGTACGATTATCTATATATTATTTCATTAAACTACTAATAAAGGGTAATTAGAGTCGGTCGATATCTGAGTGTTTTATGTAAGTAAGTGTATTGTCTTACATAAAACGTTAAGATGTTTTTGTTTTCACATGATGTACGGTTATTATTTTGTTTTTCTTATTTTCTTTGTTTCTATACAAAATCTTGATATACAACAAACATTAATCGTTTGGTACACATGTAATTTATTTTATGATAATTTTGCTGAACCAGTCTAACTCTAAAACACACAATTATGGGTTTTTGATTAAAGTTTCAAACCGGGCATTTTTGATTAACAAAAAAAAAAAAACAATTTATGGGCTTTTTCATGTGAAAGCCCAAAGGCCTAATTTACTGATACATATCATCATCATCAAACAACAAAGGAAACGTGAATAAGAAGAAAACAACCACAACATAACACAGATAGATAGCCCTAACAATGGTCAAGGTAGAAGAAGTAAGCTAGTTAACAAGTTTAAAAGAATCTTCAATCTTCTTCTCAGAAAACTAACTCATCTTCGTTTCAAATCTCTGGAGATAGCTTTAATGGTGGAAGGTGTAGTTCTGCAACATCCTCCTATTAGATTAGCTCCAAGGTCACGCCACTTCGTTGCAAACATCTCAAATTCATCATCACCAAAGCATTGTGATGGCTGCCAAATTCACCCAAAATCAGCAGACAGTAAAATCTGATTTATATATGATACTAAAGACTGTAACATTTTTTTATCCACATTCAATCTAATGCTGTGAGGCTTTTTGACCCATCCAACTTATTTTGACTGGAATTGTCAATGTAGTAACCATTTCTATGGCTGCTATGATTGACTCATGAGATTGATGTGATTATTTTTCTTCTATGGATAGATTTTAGTTTGGAATTAGATACGAATAGGTAAGAAAACAACATACCAGCCATTGTTTTGCTTTTCCATCCCAAACCTCTCCGCTATTCGGGTAAACAACGATAGCTTTCTTGGTCAGCTGAAAAGAAAGAAAATGACATATAAAGTAAGACTCTTAATGTTACTTTTCCATACAATCAATCAACCAGAGCTTCAACTACTACTTGCCTTGGCGAATTTGGAGATAAGACTTTCGATGAACTGAGGAGGCGCGCAGTTTATGCCAACCGCATAGATGTTGTCGCTTTTGTTAAGAGGTTCGAGGCATTCCTCAAAGCTCTCTCCTGATGGAGCTTTCTCACCATCTACAGATGTGAAGCAGATCCAAGCTGGGATTTGCACATTCTCTTCCTCCAGAAGCTCAGCGCACGCCTGAAAATTTGAGGACTTGCAATATTAAAGAGACTGATAACAACATTTTTGTAAGAATCAGTCTTTTCAGTGGACACAAGCAAACCTGAGCCTCTAGTTTGTTCGGTATGGTTTCAAAGGCAAGAAGGTCAGGACCAGCTTCCACTAAGACTTGAAGTCTTCTCCTGTGAAAGTCTTTTAGTTTATCCAAATTTACGTTTTCACCATAGTTTCCACTGCAAGAAGAACATTAACTAATTAATAAGTTGACTTAACTTCTCAAAACCAAAATCACATAATGTGAATCTATATATCTGTTTCTTAAAGGGGTACCTGTACTCAGAGCCATCAGCAAGGTAAGCTCCATAGCTTCCAATAGAAGCAGCTACAAGAGCTCTGTTATAGCTATGTCCTGTAATCTTGCTCACTTTGTCCCAGAATTTATCACGAGCTTCAACAGCTAAGTTAACACTCTTTTGTAGCAAAGACTCGCTCTCTTCCACCGATAAACCTCTCGAAACAAACCCCGGGATAGTAGCCTGAATAAACAAACCATCCGGTAAGCCAAATATGAAAACTTTAAAAGAAAAGTCAAGAGTATAAAACTTAATTAAAAATCCAAACTTTTGTAATCTTTACAATATCAGAAAAAGATAACTTCAATATTGAAGAAAAGTATCTTTCTAAGTCCTGAGCCCTACAGAACTTGAATTTTCTAATCTCTTTATCTTTTTTACTAACCAGAAATTACAAAATGGGATTTGGAACTTTTATATCTCTTCACAATCAGATAGATTGTGAAACAAGAAAGAGAATGAACAAGTAAAGAGGTTGCTTCTCATTACCTGATAAGATGAAGTAACCACAATGTCTGCACCAGCTTCCAAATATTCCATGTGAACCTAAATGAAATATTCATAAAACTCTTATCTATTATAATCCAACTCTTCAGACCCAGAAACTAAAAAAAAATCGAAATTAAGAAGAAGAAAAAAAAACAGAGATCTGCGTTTTCACCAATAATCATTTGAACCCAAAGTCTCAAATTTCAATTTTAACAATATGAGAAATCAAAAGTGTCAAGCTTTATAATCTTCTTAGCAACCCCTAAACCACAAATTTCAAAATTAGGGAAATGAAAAAGAAAAATCGAAAATTTAACGAACCCTTTTGATGAGTTCAGGGTTTTTGATAAGAGAAACAGCACTCCACAAAGGGTCATTAATGGCGGCGCCGTGAATCTCAAGCTGGGTAGCGAAACCACCGTCGACCACCGCACAACCACCGCATTTCTTTATCAAATCTTCCAACAATGCAGATTTCTTCTCTAAACCCATTTTTCAGAAAAAACAAAAACTCAAAACCTCTCGAAAGATAAGATTCAGACAAACGAGATAATCTTGAATTTTGTTTTCTCTTGTCGGAAGAATCGAAAAAATCAACGCCGCTGTTGTGTTTTTATTTTCCCCTAATCAAAACCACAACGGATGCTTCATGTTTCCCTCTACTCTTATATGTTTGGATAATGGGCTTGGTATAGGCCCACTACAGGTAATAAAATATTTGTTTTCTCCGGAATATAAACTTTTTTTTGTGTTGACGCGTTTCTCTAATCTGTAAAATTATAAAATAAATATAAATTCGTAATTTCAAACTTCGCCGACGGAAACTAATTAATTAATTCCACCGTCAAACACTCAAACTCAAAACATATGAAATTGAAATTTCTTACGTATATTTATATATTTTTTCATCGATACACACATTAAGCATGCGTACATCAACTTAATTTTCATTAATCCACCTACTAAATTCAACATTTAATTACAAAAGTTTTGGAAATAACTGATAAACACAAAACGATACAAAAAGTATATAAAAGAAGTTATAAAAAGATATAAAAATACTTTAGTTAGATGTTTTTAATAGCGTTTTTGTGATTAATAATTATCAAAACGGTAAGGTTCACAAATATATAAACCCTATACGTTTCTTGGCACCCACACTTTTATTATGTAATGCTTTTTCAGAGTTTTCATATTTTTTCACAATTCGTTTCCTAAGTTCATTAACGTAAAGTATACAATTATACGTTTTGTCTATGAGATAAAAGAGCGACTCGAGAAACTGAGTTTAAACAATTGATTAGAACTTGATTTACAAATCTATAAAAATGGAGTTTCCTTATGTTTATACGTTGGATACGAAATATGAAAAGGATCTAAGCAAACATTAAATTTCTATATCGACCAAGAATTGGTAACAGGTGTGGCAAAGATGTAGCCGTAAATGCAGGCATGAAGAAGACAATTTATGTATTTTTCATGAGAAAAAAGAAATTATGTATTTATATTTATCATAGAATTTAATAGACACCAATAACACTAACATGTGCAAAAAAAGTAGGTCTTAGTTGTTGTCAAAGCTACTATATACGTTTAGTCATGTGAAAGGTATAATCTTAAAGTCATTGCCAAACTATCAAAGTTCTTTCTTTAAGTATTAGTAAGAGAATAACCCGACAGTAGTATTACTTTTGTTTATAAAGTTTATCAAATACTAATCGAAAATATAGTGCTTATAAGAATCGTGACTTGTTTATATTTCTTAAAAATATTTTGGATACTTCTCTTTTTTCGAAAAGTTATAAATATTGGGAGCCTAAATTATATTTCTCTATTAGATCTTTGAATGTTGAAACTATAAGTCTCTGGCAGGCATGGTGTGTTTGGTGGGTCAACGATGCACATTTCTTGTGCCTTGACTTTGAAGCAAAACATATGATTATGTGACTATGTGCTACAACATTTCTAAACTCAACCATATTTTTATCTTTTAATATTTTTGTGTGTCATTTACATTTTTGACTAATCCTGACACATTTGCGAACTTGTAGTAAAATATTGAAACAATTGTAGGTAAGTAGCTTAAGTTTTGTTCAACCATTGCCAAAATATTTGACTAAACGGCGGTAAAAAAGGGTTTGGTCGTTCGTTGTGGTCGTTGAAGTTACATATGCAATTAACTTCGACATGAATAAACTATTTAAAATATTACAGTTAATTCAGTTTGAAAGTTATTAAGCTCACAAACTAATCTTAAGGTTAATAGATTATACTAAAGCAATTCAAATAACTTATACGTGAGAGTAGATTGCTTAAGTTTGAATGCAAAATCAATAAAAAAATGTAGTAGCTGATTTAATGTCAGTTATGTCCCTCAGTGTGGATCATATGTCATTACTTGATTGAGAAAGCTCTTAAAACAAGAGGTCCTAAAAGAAGTTACACCTAAGGTGATCAAGATCCTTCTTGTTCAAAAGATGCACCAAATTCTAGTATTATGAAGTCATTAGTAACTTTGCCGATCATCCACAATGTAAACCACAACGGAGAAAAATTATTCTATGTGGGAGTGTGCAACGTGCACCTTATTGAACTTGTCACTGGCTCTAATATGTGTGAGCTATGGACTGGCACAAAGCCGAATGAAAGGGAGATAAAGCACAAAGTTTGGTCTTGCAAATTCTGCACGCTTAAAAACAAGGTGAACTTAGAGAAATTTGAGGCTTGTGGTAAGTGGAGATACTCGTATGGAACACCATTGTCGACAAGTGCTCCTAATGTTGGCACTTGAGGGTGTAACAAAACTTCTACAAGGATCAAAAGTCGAACTCTTAGCCAATTTTGGTGGCCAACGAACGTACAAGAATTTTCAAGTTCTGTAAACTAAGTTTCTAACTTGGGCTTGTGGTTGCGTTATGTTATGTAAAATAGGTTTTTTTAACTTTATTAGTTGGAAGGTATTTCGATTTTCCAATTACTCAAAATTTTTTATGAATAGGCTCAATGTTGAGAAAAAATTGTAAAAGTTTCTCCTTTGAGTAACATTTTTGAGAAAGGTGAATCAAAAAGATAATAATTGTGAAGAAGTTGTTTTAATAAATAAACTTATGTTATTAACGAATGGATAAATAGAGATTTATTAGTTGTGGCTGTAGAACTTGGACTGTCAATGTAATTTATCATTAGTAAAATTTATTTTAGCATCACATTTTTATGATGTTAATTTTGTATCATTTTAAAAAATCAATTTTATCAAAAAAAAAAATACATATATCAATTATCTAAATGATGTAAATATGTATTTTATATCAATTTTTAAAAAGTGATACAATCTACTAGAAATTGAATCAGTTTTAAATAATTGATGAAAAGTAGTTAATATTAACATCAGCTAATGTAATTGATGTTAAATTATTTATATTTGCTTCACTTATTAAAAAATAATTTAAAATAAAATCACTTAAATTTGTCATACAGTTTAAGTGATACAATATACTCATTTTTTTTTTGTAGTGCTGCTATTGAAAAGTTTATAGTAGACTAGGGTTGTAGTGAACAAATCATAACATTAACATTAACAATAGCATCCTAAACAAAGTGTATGTAAATGTTAGCCTAATGGTCATCTCTATTGACATTGGATTATTGTATAGCAGCTCACTAGCTCAATGAGAAAACCAATTTGTAATTTATAGGCTTTTCAAAGACAATTGCCTCCATAGAAAAAAAAACCCAACAGAGATTTTGTTATCGTTCTCACCTCTCTATCCTTAAAACCATCCATGTAACAACGATTTAGGTGAGTTTGGTTGGCTCAGTTTTCAAATATCGTCAAAATCACGAAACCTTTACAAAAGCCATGCATCATGAAAAGCTTGGTCAAAACAAATGTGATATCCATCAACACAAATTATTACTATAACCATCTAGAGAACGAAATTGCTAAATCTAATCAAAAGAACACAAAGCGAACATGAAAAACTGAATCGATGAAATGAAATAACGAAGAAGGAAACGGAAGCTAACCTTATAGAGAAGATGAAAGCGAGAGAGAGTGAGCAGCCGAAAGCTTATTAGAGAGCAGTGATGAGTATCTAACAGTACAAGCTTTTCGCTCTTTCATATGGGCCTTATTGGGCCAACACGCATCGGGCCAAAATTTTCTACCGAACGATGATGATAATGACGAAGTCATATTTTTATTTTTTCTGTCAACATCTTTAGACATTTTAATTCTTAATTAAATCAATATAAATCCATAAAAACGAAAGTAATAAAATCCCAATGGAGCTTACAGTGTGAAGTTGAGAGATGATGGCTTGAATGACACAAACAAAAGAACCAAAATTGACTAAAAACAGTTCAAATTATAATCCCTACTATAGTAAAAGAGAAGTACAAAAGTACTTCCGGGTCGGGTCAAAAACAGAAAAATAACCCGAAATTAAAATGATGGATACTTAATTTTTGGACTAAAATTTGGATATGTACATTAACTATTAAAAAAAATCAATTACTAAAAATTCCCCTTATTTAGGAAACTATAATAATGATACATGCATATTTTAGAAATCTAAATTAATTGTGTATATTTAAATATAAATGGTGAATAACAATTGCACATTTTAAGGTAATTACGTTTCTCATCACCTAAAAAAGATCTTAATATTTAGATAATATTCTAATTACCAAATAAGTTTGTAATCTTTGATATAATGGTTAATCATTTGGAAATATGATTAAATACCCACCCAAAATATTAAAGTTTCCTAATACAGTATTAAAGGCTACGATTTAATTATCCATTTTAAAATGAAAATATGAATATTTAAAATATATAAATTTTCAAAGAACACAATTATTAATTGTAAAGTTTTAATAAAAATTAGCATTTAAAATAGCTTCCGAAAACTTATATTTGAAAACTATATTTTTGGAAATAATACTGACAAATTTAAATTTAGAAATAACATTTATACAAAGAGATCT